TAATGCTTGCATTATTATTATATATAATTAAATGCACAATTAAATGCTTCGATTCGACAACTGTATGCTTCGATGAATGAAAATTCTCTCAACCATCCCCCGATCCCAACACAAGTAAGTCAGACTAGTCCGCCACACACTGGTATCTCCATTCAGCGCTCTTCGCGTTAATTATCACCTCAGCTGACTCCCCGGGCTGCGATTCAACTCACAGCCACGAGCGCATTGGGCTGCGATTCAACTCACAGCCACGAGCGCACCGGGCTGCGACTATACTCACAGCCACGAGCGCACTGGGCTGGGATTTAACTCACAGCCACGCGCTACACTGCACAGTGGGCCGATATGCCATTCTATTTATTTATTTATTTATTGAACGTCTTTGGACCATCCACAGGAGCCGTGGCTATTCTCAGTCCAGTGTCACAATCGTTGAACAGTAGTAAAAGTGGGTAAAAAGGTACATGCATTCACATACACACATAAAACGCATAATAAAAGAAAAAGAGAAACATCACAGCGCAAGTTACAAGTTTCACAAGCGGTAAATAAGCCTCACAGACGATAGGTAACTATACCGGAACAGCACCTACTCGTACTCTCTCTTGAGGTAAAGACGCAAGTTCTTTTTGAAGGCATCATGCTTGAGGGCAGTCAGCTCCACCGGCACACCGTTGTAAAGCTGCGGTGCCCGGTACGCAAACTGGCGTCTACCTGCCTCCGATCGGATGCGAGGTAGGTAAAAACTGTTGTCCTGTCGCGTTTGTCGTATACGTAAATTCGAGCTTTTGATAAAAAGTGAGGCAAGTGGAGCCGGTTCTCCCCACCGGAGTGTTCGGTGGACTAGAGAAAGTGTGTGGTAATCCGACAGCTGTGTAGATGTAAACCAGTCAGGACCTTTCAAAATATCCGAAATATGGTCAAATTTGCGTCTCCCAGCAACCACTCTCGCGCAAAAGTGAATAATCTTTTGGAGTTGCCTATGATTTTTGCCAGTACAATTACCGAACACAGTTATACAGTACCTAACGTGAGAAAGTACTAGACCGTGCACTACTGTTGGTATCACCCTCTGAGGGAGGTAATGCCGGATATGGCTGAGGGCAATCAACATTCCGAAGCACTTACGCACGACATGTGCCACGTGTTCGTCCCATGACAGAGTAGGGTCGAATATCACGCCGAGGTTTCTCACACTCCGTTCCGGGCGTAGAGTCTCGCCACGGAAACGCACCTCGATCGTGGGGACACTGCGGAGGTTCGGCCTGCTGCCAAATACCATTAGTTGGGTTTTCGAGGCATTCACCTTCAGGGCATTAGCCCTGAACCACACGTCCAAAGACGTGAGGGAGCTCTCCATGCGCCCTACCAGAGCCGCAATGTCATCCTTACCGCCGGACACAAGCACTTGCGTGTCATCGGCGTATTGGACGACATGGGCATCAGGCGCGCAGAGGCTCAGGTCATTGGCGAACACTGTGTACAACAATGGCCCGAGGGCAGACCCCTGGTACACCCCCACACTGTTTCGCAGCGGTCGCGAGAGGCACCTTCGACCAGAAACAGGGTCAGTGATGGAAACACTCTGCGTGTGGTTTGATAGGTAAGAGCGGAACCATTCAGCGTCAACTCCATGCTGCTCTAGTTTGGTCAATAGTTTGGAATGGTCGATAACGTCAAAACATTTACTTAAATCTATCAGACAGAGTAGAGTAAGATCACCTCTGTCTGTCGCAGATAAAATATGGTCCGATAAAAAATGGTCCGATAAAATATGGTCCGTGCTTGTGTTACTTGCTGAGCAATGCAGTTTCTGTTGAGTGTCGTGGCCTAAAACCGTGTTGAGCTGAAGCTAAGAGATGATTGGATGACAAATAAGCACAGAGTTGACGCTGAACGACCTTCTCGACGATTTTGGACATGACGGGGACTAAGGAGATAGGTCTGAAGTTGGCTGGGTTGGAACAGGGACCGGATTTGTGAATAGGATGGATTATGGAGTGTTTCCACGCCTCTGGGAAAGCACAGTTTGACAGACAGGTATTCACGATGTTCAGCAACGGCACTCCAATCGCGTCGAAACATAGCTTGATGGTGCGTATGCATAAACCATCCATGCCACAGGCCGAAGTGTTACGCATTCCGACAATCGTTCTAGCGCGACAGGGCCTGAATCTTCGAACGGAACCCTTGGTTTTTCGCGAGTAATTCGCGTAAAAAGCGGCCGATCGCAACGAAACTTTCAGTACCCTCGTGATCACTACTTTTACAGCTAACCTGAAAATTTCATGACCCTGACCTTAATGATCTTTGACCTGTGACCTGCTTTCGAGACCATGTTTGGCCGGAATCGCGATTCAGCGTATGTCGGCTCGCATTAGCCGCGGGTTTGCAGTCTTTTCTTGGCTTAAAGCGTTCAAACATGGGATATTATGTTGCTCCCATGCATTGGGGTGGGTGTCAAGGTCACCAGAAGGTCAGGTAAGGTCATTGGCCTTTGATGACCAATTGGTTCACTTTTTCGAGTTTTACATGTTTCTAGGCTAGTTTTTGGGTCTGAATTCGAATCTAGCAACCATTTGAACATTTACTATGTAGCTTTGGTGCCTTCGTAACATGTTACAAAGCTGTCAGAGGCGGTTGCCACCTACAAATACCCGGCAAAACCCTTACTGGTTGACCTGACCTGACCTGACCCGACCTGGCCTAAATGTATGAAGACATCATCTATGATCGTAAATAACATTATATTCGTGATCAGCACCCAAAAAACCCATAGCAGCCACCCTTTACGACGTTCTAACAGGTCCCGATTTTCCCGACTTTTGGGTCATTGACCTGACCTGGAAGGTCAACCGATGACCTAGGACCTTACAAGTGGGTATCATCAGCTTCCTCTTGTCACGGGCAACACGCTCGTCTTTTCCGCGAAGCTCTAGCTCGATCAGGGGCGAAGCGGCGGGGGGGTCCAACGGACCTCTTCTATACTTTCGCGGCTGGAAAAACACCACTAGGGGCGAGGGTTAAGCCAAATCTAAGGGCTTGTTTCAGAAAGACCGCTAAAAGAGCAATTGAATGCACTTTTCCGCGACGATGTAGCTCTATTGGTCCCCGAGGTAAGAGCCGGTTTTCGAGAAATGTTGATATATGCAACATTTTACCCTTGATGACCTCTGGTGACGTGACCTTTGACCTGACCTAGAAATGACTAATTACTCCATCTGGAATTTCGGGCGCTCTTTCGAATGTCACTTACTACGTGTCGCTATGTGGCCCAAGAGCCGAGTTAGAAGGGGAGTGTTCAATCAACACCTCCCGGCCCGGCGCGTTTGACGCCGAGCACCGGTCCGGCGCGGGTTGATGTTTGGCTGCTACATCCAAAGTCGCAAAAAGTCGCAAAAAGTGACTGTTGGATCTTGTAGTGCAATGAATCATTGACATGTAGCGAGATTTTCGAAGCGGTACTCCGCGGTACTTTTTTTAAAAGTCTATTTGTGTGTGACATCAATTATGTGAAATTATATTTTCGTCTTTAAATCTTTGCGGTGCCAATACATCATAACCAAGTAAGAGTTCGCTATTTTCATGTGGTTATGTGTGTTCTGCAGACCTGGAGCTATCGTTTGATGTATATAAATGTGGAATTCGTCCTCAAATTGTGATTGTTTTCGTTGATCAAAGATACGTTGTCGAAGAGTGCGGGGGGACGAGTTCGGTCCAAACGATTCCGAAGTTCGTGTTTAAGCTGAGTTTTCGCCATGAAATAACAATTGTGTTGGAAAACAAAGACCACAGCAATGTAGTATGATCATTTTTGAACAAATTGGTATAGGTTTCATTGCACATCCACAAAGTTCGATTTTTTTACCCATGTCGTGCTAGACCTGGCGATCGGCCCAGTGTGCACTGGTAACCGGGTCAGGCGGACAGTCGATCCCCTGCAACAACACACGCCCACGCACGCTCCTGCGTGACACGCATCATACGCTCACAGTGCGGCGTCACGGGCCGGGTCACGCAGCGTCACGTCACGCTCGCGGTGTCACGCGTGTCACGCTCACCGTCACAGGCCGCCGAGGGCGCGGCTTAATCTAGTCACGTGCCGAGCCGGTAGAATGGAGGCTGGAGCTCGGTAAACGTTGGTGGCGTTGATCGTTGGTGTTGATAGCGGGTGTTTGAATTCAAAATGTGTTGGGTGTGCTTATATCTAACGACCGGAAATGTATGTATGCATTGAGCTGAAATGTTGCGGTGAGTAGGAGTGGGTAAGCATACGGAATTTACATAGGAATAAGTGCTACGCTCTAAGACTTAGCTGAGTTGGATATTTACTTTATTTTTTGCTGTGACTTGCCTTGTGATAATCAGTAATTAGTTGAGGCCATCTTTGACAACTTGTCTAGCGGAAGGCACACGCTGCACAATACTCTTTTCCCCGAGTGCCAAATCACGGATCCATTTGGCGGTGACGCGAAATGGGCAAGATGCATGAAGCTGAGAAAAAGTTAGGCGTATGTAATGTCTCAATCTGTCTAATTTCATGACCCCGACCACCTTGCACTTGCAAAACCACATAATTAACATCATTTTCTATCCACCGAGATGAATTTTCTGGACTTCCTTTGCGAGTCTCTGTTTCGCCGACTAACTTGTTGTCGTCGATGGTGGGAAAGCCCCGCTAACCCGCGGTCGTTGCTCCCACTACAGTCCCAAGGTGTGATGAGGCTGCAAATTGCAACCGCTTCTGTTCCCGCGAGCAGGAACTACCGCCTCCCGTGAACAGGCGGTCTCTGCACTGAGTGTATGCACGTCCAGCAAGGTGACCCTAAATCACGACACGGACAGTGGACACGCAATGTTACTGGTAGACGGCAGCTTTCGACATTTCTGCTGTCCTCACGGGCATTTATCCGTGATCCGTGCTCACGGATATTACCCATAATAATTAGCATTTACCCGCGCTCACTGTTGTTTGGGCTCCAGTCACGAGCTTTACTCACCACCAGTTTCCTCTCGCCGCACTGTTCGGGTCGGACGCAGCGCCGGCGCCGTCTCTGGCGACACTTCTGACAGGCTGACCAGTTGGACCAGCGCTCAAACTGCGCCGATATCGCCAGCTCCTCGTCTCGCCACGCCGCGCCTGTAGAGATGCGGCCAGTGACGTCAGAAATATAGACCAGTGACGTCAGAAATGTAGACCAGTGACGTCATAAACAGAACAGTGACGTTATAAGCAGATCAGTGACGTTATAAACAGAAAAGAAGACATGGATATTTAAATCATGTAAACATAACCTATCTTATAATTTTTATTTTTGTTTCAATTGGATGTGAATTTCGTACATTCACTTCCAATATGCTCTGTTAGAGAGTCCATTACATACATACTATCGGGGGATAACTGCGATCAGACAGTGGGCACGATGATGGGAACAATACCAACCATCATCGCCACGATTTATGGAGACGAATTATTCATCATAATTAGGAATATTTGCTATGTGTGGGTAAATAGGATTGACATAAGCGACAGGATGTCAACAATGTGGAATGTGCATGAATCTCGAGTCAGTAAATAAACCAACAAATTCATCTCCCACGCAACATAAGTACAGCAATCGATTTGAGTCCAAAATGACAGTGATTGGTCTAAATAGAGCGCCAAGAAGATGAAGCCTACGTTCCGTTTATTGTCACACTGCAGTTTGTATTAATAGATCCTCGTCCGAAGCATGTCAATATTTGACATCTACCTACCACATAAAACAACGGTAATCATAATAATCGAATTTTTTCTCCGTAGAGCTATAAAAACATTGAGAGAGAGTGACAAAGAGAGAGAGAGAGAGAGAGAGAGAGAGAGAGAGAGAGAGAGAGAGAGAGAGAGAGTGACAAAGAGAGAGAGAGAGAGAGAGAGAGAGAGAGAGAGAGAGAGAGAGAGAGAGAGAGAGAGAGAGAGAGAGAGAGAGAGAGAGAGAGAGAGAGAGAGAGAGAGAGAGAGAGAGAGAGAGAGAGAGAGAGAGAGAGAGAGAGTTGAATGCATTATCTATATTAGTAGCAGAAACAGCATATTGGAAGCCAAGTGGGATTTGTCGTCTGTCTGGTGTACCCTTCCCACCACAAATGAACATCACACATCAGAAACGGCTAATACCCGCATTCTGCGACGGTGAAAACAATGGGGTAATATACAGGGTGATCCAAAAAATTTGGAACCCCTAACTTAAAATGGCTATAAGTCCGAGAGTATTCATTTTATTGACAAATTGCGAGCACCATTAGAAAGATCATTACATCCTCCATAACATCACGTCAAATTGGTGCATGTATGTTGTAAAGCATTGGCACACTATTAGCTTTTGGAATGAGCGTCAGAAAACTGAGTGAAACGAAATAGCCAAATGTTAACCATGCGCTGAAATCAGTTAGCACTCTATCTGTTGTCTTTTTGCGAATAACACCACATCCAAATTCAATTTTATTCCATAAAAGTTTACCCAGAAGCACACAGTAGAAAAGATACACGCGTCCTAGCTTCCGCTGTTCATCACAGCATGTGCTCAACGCGATCTCCGGGGGCCGTCACGCAGGCCTGCAGTTGCTTTGGGACAGCTCCGACTGCGCGGGTCAGCAGTCTCTGGGACAACTGGCCCCAGCAGGCCGTCGGCCTTTCCTTTCCTTACAGTAGCACGTGAATGAGCTATTTTTATTCATGAACCTCCAACAAGCGACATGGTCAGAACCCAGAACAGCGTCAGCAACCGTCAATCACTGATTTGCGCATAATGTTCAAAACCGTTTCACTGAGTTTCGTGACACAAATTGTATAGGCATATATCTAGGGCAATATTTATAATAATAAGTTACTACAATCAACTTGGTTTTATAGAGAAATGAACGCTCTTTCTAATGGTATTTGCAATTTATCAATAAAGTGATCATTTTTTGACTTACAGACATTTTAAGTTAGGGGTTCCAATTTTTTGGATCACCCTGTATACCACAGACGTGATTTATTTATACGTCTGTGGACCCGACACACCTATTTATATTCTGCACTAAACCACGATGAAACCTAAGTAAGTAACAAACATATCAATAAGCAAGCAAACCCTTTGTTATTTTTGTGCTTCTTTGATTGACCCCAACACTTACCTAATCGCTGTCGATGTCTGCGTCTCCTTGACGCTGGAGCTTCGTTGGTGACCTGAAACATAGAAGATTGTATATTAGAAACAAGTAATAGGGCGGTGTTTGCAAATGGGAGTGATTCGTCAGACTTGTGATGCGACATTGCTACGCTTTGGTGATGGTAGAAAAACAATTGCTGGTCCGATTCTAACTGAGAAAGTAACAGAGCCCTTCATGTCAGTTTGGCGATTACTGGTACAATCTAGGTCATTCAATTTGTTAATCATATCATTTTTTATCTAAATCAGTTTATAAGACAGTGTTTTCATAATAATGATGCTATAGCCTATAGCATCATTATTATAGGAAATGAATAATGATGCATCCAATGCACAAAAAAGTCGTGCCTCACAAATTGCTGACGCAGGAACCTAGCTAGCCTAAAAGGTCATCGTAATTTGTTGGGGCTAAACCCTTGGAACCCACTGTCATTGGACACCATCCCCGCGAAGAATAACACAGCTTCTAACGTCAAATCATCGGAGAGGTCATAAACATGGTAGACACTTCACTAAGCCATTTCGCCGTTGAGAATGGCAGGATAGCCAGTAAAGAAGCATCGTGACAAATCACATAACCAAGACAATGGATGAATAAATCTTGCAGAAAGCTGCAGTAGCGGTTATTCATTGCTGGCCACCTTCCTTTGGAATCTGAAGACAGACAGACCCCCGAGATGCAAATCAGCTCCAAACGAGTGTCGTATCATTGTTTATGGAATGTTGTCAAAGCTGTACGCGCCTATTTCCGCTGACAAGCTGAGCTGTGTGAGCATTTGCAAATATGGCTGAAACATGGCGAGTTTCCGAGAGCTTATCTCATGTTTGGCACACCTACGAGACATGCTGCAGTGACAAAAGCTTCGCCAAGCGTTGTTCCGGTTGGTTAGCTTATACAGCGCCTTTGGAATGCTTCAAGATTGTCACATGTGGCAACGGAGACAAGAATCGGAACAGCTTTCTTCGCTGGTTAGCTCTACAAAATCTGCAAGCCAATCACTGCAAGTAGATATAAACTGTGTCTGTATACAACGCTTGTCAGTAGTCATAGCCCTAAGCTATGCACGTTTATTTTAGAACGCTTCGGAAATCCAGCGAATAGACAAAGTCATCCGGTGCGGGTGCAATAAAAAGTGATCAGCAAAGAGCACGGCTGCTAGTCGTATTTGCGACATAAATCACATGTTTACCGATTCGGTAACGAGCAACTAATCGGTCTGCAGCTTTTATTAAGGTTAGCCGGAGTGAATGCACCAATGTAATTGTAGTCCGGGGAGCGTTAAACTGTGGGTAGAGGAAATTGGCTTGAAATAAGTAGGAATGTGCTAACGCCTAAAGAAGAGAAAGACAGAGAAATAGAGAGAGGAGACGGAGAGAGGGATGGATTGATAGGATGGGATGGAACGGAATTTATCGATATTACTTTCATGCAAAAAAAGCAGCTCACTAAGTTCAAACCGTCGAAACGCAAAACGCAGCTACGTGCAGCACAGCTCAAACGCCCACACCAGTACCTGAGCACATAACGACCCGTGTTCAGTGTCCACTTTTAGCGCTGTGTCTAGGTGAGCGGCTCACCCGGCGGTGAAAATGTATGTGCCGATCATTATCGCCCGTATGGCTGGAGACATTACCGAACGACTGTCGGCCAAGTTCAGTGAAGTCGTACTGAAAATAGCCGCCGCAATGTTCGCCGTGCAATGCCACCCAATTCGGGTGGCCGGCCCGCCCTGACGTAAGTAGCAAACGATATCAAATGATCCGCTGACTGCTCAAGTTTGCCAAACAGACGTTCGCACGTCTTTCAAATGTGGGCATGGTGTGGGAGGTGGGTCGGTTTTCCAATGATCGTCCATTACACTTGCGGCACGTGAAACTGCAAACGGATGTCGTACGCGATCGGAGCGGGGTCTTAATGACACCGTGGGCGATATGGGGAGGAGGGACGGCTGGCTGAGTGGGAACACTTGGCACAGGGCGATGTAAGTACAGCGCAAAGAAAAGGAGCGCGAACACCCACGCCGATATGGCACAGCCCACTCCTAATGCTGAATCGATGACTAAACGATGTGATCTGAATCATACTGACAGTTTGTGCTCAAAATATGTGCTGCATCGATATCAATGCACTGAAAGATGCTGATATGTCCTTGACTGGGTTTGGTTCTTGTTCTATACTCGTAGTCAGTCCCCTTTTCAAGCATTGTAAAGTTACACCAGCCCCAGTGACTATCCAACTAGTATACGAATACTGCATGGGGGAGCGGGCAATAGCAAAAAATATTGCCCGATGTGACGTCACTGTCGCCCGAGGGTGAAGACCGAAACAAGTGCTATTGCCCGAGGCGAAGCCGAGGGCAATAGCACTTGTGGAGGTCTTCACCCGAGGGCGACAGTGACGTTACAGAGGGCAATATTTTTGCTATTGCCCGCTCCCCCATGCAGTATTCGTTTTATTACATGGCCAACTCTCGGAATCTTTACTTAGTACTCATTCATCCCGTAATAAAAATATCCAAACACAAATATCATGGTACAATTGAATGTATTGGATATACAATCATAGCCACGTCACATGTCTACGGCACACACTTAGTTGCTTTACATGTTAACCCTCGCCGGACCTATTGGTTTTCTACATACGCGCCGGCCGAGGGGGGGGCGGGTACGACCCCCCCTCGCCGTTTCGCCCCTGGTGGAGCTAGCGCGTCGCGGAAAAAACGAGCGTGTGCGCCGTTACGAGACGCAGAGATTGGTACCCGATTTTAAGGTCCTAGGTCAACCGGTGACCTCTGAGGTCAGGTCAAGTGCCCCAAGGTACGGTTCAGTTTTTGGTGAATAACTTCGCAAAAAATGGCCGCAGAGCCGCGATTTTGGCAGCATCGTGTTCGCCTCGCTCAGGCGCGTCGAATGATATACTTTTTGTTCGGGTCAGGTCAACTTGGGGTGTTGACCTCAGGTCAAGGTCAGGTCAGCACCCTAAGGTCACGAAGTTGGTCGAAAGGGGTCATGTCGCATATCATTCGATTCGGCAGGTCTTCCTGAGTCCATTGGTGGCTTTCCCGACTCGCTAGCTCAATTTGATCAAGAGTTATTGACGAAAAACTAATATGACCTTGATGACGTCATAAATGACGTCACGCAAGGTCAACATTGCAAAAGTGACGCATCTAACCTTGCAAGGAGTGCATCAAATCACGATTCTGTGTGCTTGAGATAGTTGGAGATCGTTCCCGGCGCCAGAATAGCAGTTTGAATTTTTCCCCATTGACTTATAATGGTGAGGTCACGAAAATGACCTGACCTCATATGACCTTTAGGAAAAATCCGAGATATACAAGTTGTGAGACTCATAATGGATACTAGATCCTGCAAGTTTCATTTCGCTGTGACATCTCCTCTGGCAGTGAGGGCGTTGCGAAGTTGCGACATCTGAAGACCGTGCAGAGGTTCACTTATGACGTCATAGGTCAGTGACCTGACCTGACCCAAAAATGCGGTTGGTGTCAAAAGATGCGGCTTGGATCAAAGGTCAGGTATGCCAAGTTTCAGCTCTCTATCGCCAGCGTGTTCGGAGCTATCGCGAAAAAACCCTATGGGGGGCGGCACCCGCCCCCCCCCCCCCCTCGGCCGGCGAGGGTTAAAGTTGAAGATGCAGCCTGTGAAGAGCTGGCCGCCGCCGGTCTGAGGCTCCGCTGATGTAGATGCTGTGGATGTCGTTGCATCTCCCACGAGGCTGAGCGTTCTGCTCATATTCCTCAGTTGATCGTCCGAGACCATCTTGGCGTAGAATTGGAGAGACGACAAGGACTTGTGGCCGCTGATTTGCTGTATATGTCGACCCTCGAACGAAGCGCGATGAAAATAGCTCATCCAATTCATGCGGCTCCAACAAATTAAATCGGGGTATTTGAACGGACATGTTCAAATGACGGTCCAGTTCTTGACTTGACTAGCCAATCACGAAATCAAACTGAATAGTCTGAGAAAACGACGATAAAATTACGACATTTGAATTTTTGTTCAAACACCACTGCACGAGCAACTTACTATTGACCGTTGACATGGCAACCGCTTCTCACCTTCAGAAATGTCAGTAACCTGACACTGAAAGGTCAGTAACCTGATGCCGGGCAATAGTAAAAAATATATCATGCCAAATTAACACAGGAGCCATGTAATAATGTTCTTTTGTGCCCCGAAACGACACCTCACCCAAGTCCAAACCATCAGAAAAAGAACACAGACAACACTGGAAACACCCGGCGTCGGGTGGCGTGAAAATAAACATTCCGCCGCCTCTCATCGGCGCTGTTTTCAACACTGCACTCTGCCAGCCTCCCTGAGGTTTGTTTGTTGAGTCCGAGTGCCTCCTACCAGGGGGCCACACCTCTGAGGTCTGCATGGCCGCCTGTAGCTGCGGCTGACTGGACTCCACACCTCTGGCCAGAGGCCTGCACAGGCCGGCTGTGGCCGCAGCTGGTTGTCATCCCACAACTCTGACAGAGCCTTCAGGTCACCCCAGCTCGCGGCATGGGCCCCTGACGTCACTTACAACTCTGCTTGCGTCAGTCGAGAACTCCCATGACCATGACGCTCCCATGTCCGTCCGTCCATCGACGTGGAGTAAACCGCTTCTACATCCCATCGACAGACAAGATATTTTTACACTCGCATCCGCTCCCCATTTGTAAACAGAACCCCGCGTGCCAAGTCACCGTCCCATAGGCAAAACCCGTCATGTGTTCAGCTGCATGAAGGTATCCAGCCCTAAGTCCACAAAGTTCTGCATCCCTTGATTTCTTACAAATGCGCCACTGACGACATCGTCAGCTCATCCTGAGGACAAATCGGCTCTGGGCGCCTTCAGTGTCCACCCCATGCTTCGCCCAAGTACAAAGATCGGAGATCACTGATCAGCGTGGCTATCCCACCTTAGCAGCTTGGCATCTTGCACTAGCGTGACGTGTTTAAATAAACGTTAGGCGACGACGCTAAGAGCCGATGCAAAGTGCGG